ATATATATATATATATATATATATATACTAGCAGGTCCCCGCAAGCATCCGCGCGTGATACTAGCCGAACTCTTCAAACATTAATTCGGCTAGTATTACGGCGCGGTATAGGAGCCTGTAAGGATGTAGCTTTACGAAGTGAACCTATTATTTCGGCATTCGATATAGACAATGGAGTGCTGGAACAACATTAGAAAAAAAGGCTCCCTGGACTCCGTAATGCTCTACTGTTTAGGACCGAGGAATTTGTGCTTCTGGTGAGCATACAATCAATCCACAACTAGGGCTCAGGCAAATTAAACAAACCTGCTGCACGGAGAGCAGCGGGGTGGTACAGCAGCTCGGCGACAGTTTTCCTACGAATTTGCAGACGGGGCAGAGTTCACAGTTAAAACAGAAAGCGGACTTTTTGACTTGAACTAGTGCATCAGGTATCTTGCTGTCATTTCAGCGCGAGGCGAATATATGCCACCAAAAAGGCCCATGCCAGTTACAATTCAGTATAATGACGAGACACCAACTCAAATACCAAGTTGTCACGGAGGGAAAAGAGCAAACAAGGTCCAGGAAAAGGAACAAATGGGCTGAAGACGACAGACAAAGAAAGGCGAACAGCGCAGAAGGTAGTGTTTCGTATTGTTATGCTTACTCCCTCCTTAGCACAGCCTGCACGACGGCTTTCCGCAGCAGGAATTCCGATGCGTCTTCCTGCAAAAATAGGATACTCTAGACAAAACAGTCTTTGCAGACAAAGGATCCATTCTAGAGAAACCAGCACTTGGGGTTTTGCGTTAAAAGTTAAAGCAGTTCAGGGGGGGCTGACGCTGACTTGAAGCACGATAAACTCATCATTTTCCTGCGCAGACAGAAGCAGATTGCCTAATGAAGTATTTTTGAATCTTATAAGATTCGACAACCAACTAATCGAACTATTAATTTGAACATGGTTTGGAGGAGTTGTGATGCTTTGGTGTTGAAGGAAACAGCGCGAAGCCTGCAGTTTGGTGTTTGTTGCTGCTTTAAATGCCAATGCAAACGTCCACAAGCATTTACTCAGTGCGCATTGTTTATGGTGATTACGGGTAAGCGAACAAACTACACACCTCTCCTCGCCTCTGAAGAAATTCACCGAGCAGAGTGCAGACAGCATCAACTGACAGCGCCTCCCAAAATAATGGAGTGCCTTCGTAGGAGCACGCAGCAGCACAGTAACCATGGGGTTTTGACTGATTATTTTTCTTATTTTTCTTGTTTAAAGAGTATTATTGGGGATGTTTTGCTTTCGAGCCAGAGTTCCCCGAGGAAAGGGGAATTAGGCTGATTGAGTTGAGTTGGCTTGATGCGATGAACAAACGGCCAACAAACAAACAAATGCCAATTACCCCAAACCACTGCAATGACTTCTTCACGCAGAGGCTGAAGTGCAAAATCCTGAAAAATGCAAACAAACAAACAAACAAACAAGCAAAACACGAATCGAAAAGGCCTCTCTGCGGGCTGCATGTTCAGCATTCATGAACATCAGCATTACATATTTGTTGACAGAATTGAAAGCTGCCGTTTGCCAGCCTGATTTCTTCACTTGTTTGTCTCCCGATTTATCATTAAGTGCATTTGACTAATTTGAACTGCTAGCCGTTCAGCTGCCAAGGGAAAAGTATTGGGAGCCAAACATTATTATCATTAGATATACATGGATATATATCGATATGTAGATATGTGTATATATCCATATATATATATATATAGGTATGATTATTTAACCATACAGGGAGGGAAGACGCGAGGAGAACAGAATCCTTTGAAGCACTTTGGAGCTGCGCCTTTTCCAGCTTCTCCCCCTGCAAGGACATAGAAACATAAACACACAAAGCCCTCAAACAATCATATAAATAAATAAATGAACAAATAAATAGATAAATGAAGTAACCTCAGGACTGAAATTGCACTCGCCTTAAGATGGAAGAGCCCAAAGGCCTTCATAAAACTTGAACCAGTTTTCTGTAAGGAAACAAATCGTGAAAACAAACAGGAAGGCCAACTGCAGCATGAAGATGGATAGCAAACTACCTATTACTCTAGCTGGCTAGCTAGAAGGCTATGGCGGTGCCTAGGTAGCTAGCTAGAGTGGTGTATATAGCTAGTTGGCTAGAGTGGAGTATATAGCTACCTAATTGACACGATAGCTTTTTACTTAGTTCGTAAAATATGTTATTTCATTGGGTAGCCAAGTCACATGCTGAATGCCTGGGTCTACTGTACCCGGAGCTCCAGCTGTCTTCTTAGCATCTCTGGGGCCCCGAGAGGCCAAGCGGAGATGTATGCAGCCTCATCGTTGGTTTGCATGTCTGCTGCTGCTGCTGCTGCTCCTGCTCCTGCTGCGTCTGCTGCTGCTGCTGTAGCGGGCTGAAGGTGGAAGACAACTGCCGGATTGCTTCCTACGAAGGTTGAAAGGAGATCTGGAACAGAGAGGTAAGGAGACAGACAAAACGGAAAAAACAACAAATCGCCTTCACAAAACTAAATCTCAATCAAATAGTTGTAAGCAGCGAACCCGCACCTTCTTTCGTACACTCTAAACCCTAAATCAAAACCCTAAACTCTATATCAAAACCCTAAACCCCCTAAACTGAAGCGATAAACCCAAAACGCAAACCCTAAGCCCTAGATACAAGCCCCAGGCCCCCCAACCACAAACCCGAAATCCTAAGCACAAACCCTACATCCTAAGCACAAACACTAAAGCAAACACTAAGCACAAACCCTAAGCCCTAGGCCCCGGGTGTTATTTCCGCTAGTTAGACCCCAGGGGCCCCCTCACACCTCGAGGCAAAAGGCTGAGGCAGCAGACGGTGCAGCCCTGTTGAAGATCTTCCTTGTTATTGTTGCATGCTTTAAAAAGAAGAGCATCTGCAAGACAAGCGTACGAACTGGAGACAGTATATAAAGAGACAAAAGTGGGTGGGTGTCATCAATAGGCACATCTGCACATAATGAACATTAAAGCAAAGAGATTCAGAAGATGTGTAGGCACAAGAAGCACGTTCTTATTTACAGCATATGCTTACATGCAACGCATGCCTTCTGTTATAGCTATTACTATTCTTTTATAGAAAATCGCTTAAATGAAGTGCCGTTGCACTCACCCTGGGAGACGAAAAGCTCCGAAAATCGACGAATTATGTCCCTAATTTCGATCTTCTGAAGGTGTGTACCTGCCTGCTCTTTTGCCACAGCAGCACCAGCAGGAGCAGCAGTAGCAGCAGGGCCAGAAGCAGCCGCTGTGAGGGAGTCTGCTGCTGGCCCTAGCTGTTTAGTAATGAACTGCGAAGCAAAAGAACCGCCTATTCCAATGGAGCAGCAGACGCTCCGTTCTCCCAGGTGGACATGCACCTGAAAACGCAAAATATGCAGGCGATAGCAAAACCGCATAACCCTTCTGCATCCACTGTTCTTGTGTGTTGTCTGGGTGCAGCAGGAGCTGCTGCTGCTGCTTCACTTGAGACGGATATGTTTGCTGTTATTCGTTGCATGCACTTTACCTGCGGTGTTTTTTGGGTGCAGAAAATCGAGAAGGAGGCCTGAGCTGTCCGTACACCTGAACTAAGGAGCGCTCGATGGTGATGCAGAACCGCTGCATTGGGGGAAGCACAACTAGCTGCTGCTGTCTTCGTCTTTAATTCAAATGCTGCAGCATCGAGGGAAACAGCCAATTTTGCAGCATTTTATGGAAAAAAATCGGTGTATTATCGTAAACATGAATGCAATATTATTTTCTGAAGAGCGGGGATAGAGCGGATTGCGCGTGAGAGGCGGGGAAGGGCTATGAAATCGACGGCAAAATAAAAACTGTCGAATGCTATAAACGTTTAGGTTTCAATAAACACTTTAAGTGTACGTACACCTCACCATTTGAAGCGGCAGAAAGGCAAACTGGCGGCAACCAGTGCTTCATTGCTAGTATTTATAAGGCTATTTTGACTCAATAAAACCCCTTTTCCTCCCCTATTCGATTTATTTTGGAATTAAAAATAAGTATAAAGACGAAATTTCGTTTCAGGAGCGAAAACTCCCCAGAGATGCGTTGACTGACGTCGCCCTCCTTGCAAATACCCGAGGAAGAAAACCGTGTAAGTGCTTGAACATCTTCCTTTCATAAAAGCGAATGCAAAACAAATATACGCCTGAGATGATGTAATTCATAAAATATTATTTCAATCAAGACTATCTTGCAAAACTAACTAAACCCTACAGCCGCTTGCCGCGCTTCACCAGGGGCCCCCCAGGGGCCCCTCCCATCTTCTCTGTTGTGCTGTTATTGCTGTTCTTGCCTCTTTGCTCGCCCCAGCATCTATTGTTTTTAAACTCGTATTCATGTTGAGGAGAGGCGGAATATGAAGAAAGGTTCATTGACGTGTATACAGACCGTTTCAATGTGCTTGTACGGTAGAAGCATTTCTTGCACGCACGCGGTTACAGAACTGTGGCTAGCTGCAGTTAGCCATCGATCTTTAGCTAGCGGTAAAGCTCCAGCTTTATTCGATAAAGGGGAGAATCCTAACAGCAACTCGATGTGCATGGAATTCTGCAGATATAAAAGTTACACCTCTTATGCGATCACTCCATGGTATTATACTTCGCTAGAATCCCGTCTACTGTTCTCTGCTCTCTCTTTAGTTGGTGTTAGACGTATTTATTTTTTTTGTGTATGCGTTCAGTGTGGCTACTGAAGAAGGGCCTTTAAGGGAGTGTGAAACAGCTGCCTATAGTCTTGACAGTGCGTGCATTGAAATATATAGTAGTAGTACTATACATAATATATATGTCTTTTCTTTTGCTTTCTCTCCGCTTCATCATCGGCTCCAAGCCCTTTCTTCT